ATCGACATATTTCTCGTCTAACGATTCGAAACCTAATGCCATAAAAGATTTTATTGTGAGTAGAAATGATAATGATAGTGACAGTCGAGAGGAAAATTTGATGTGGAAAAAGCAGCTTTTTATGAATATGACTTGTCACTGAAGAGTTTTCACTAGTTCGGTTTGGCTTCAAATGATAAGTAAGCACTTCGCGCAAGTGCTTTGGTAGTTGAGGTAGATTTTGCTGGATACTTTGGAAAGTGCTGTGCAGTAGACGACGCTGCTGTAACTGTGGTTGTGCTTTTGTTCTGCCTTGCCTCTTTTGCGTTCTTTGTATCAAACTTCTGATTGGGAGCAAGCAAATGTTGAATATGTTGATTCTCGCTACATCTAATCAGCAGTTCAAATACACGTAAAACATAAAATTCATGCATTTTTATTGGAAGGAAGTAACAAATCAAATGTACCCGTCAACAAACTGGCCTTCATTAAGCTCTTTGACATTGTACTTCTTTTGCGCATTTTCTATTATATCTTGGGCTATTTTTTTCGGATCTTTTTTTCCTTTAGTGTTGGTTTCATCCACGAGATCATACTGAAGTAAAATAACAAGGCGTACTTTGTTTGAAAAATTTCATTCAAACTATACCATAGCCTCGACGATTTTTGTCAATTCTTGCTGATCTATTTTCTTATCTTCGGACGTATCGTACCTATCGACAGCAGAGATCATAGATTGAACCTAAGTATTGAAGAAACTTACATGAGAAACAGGATTTTAAGGTGCTGTTGAAGTTCCAACTGGCTGCGAGGTGAAACAGCTACAAGGAATTCTACGAAATTCATTGATTCCTTCGGGGGTGTGGCGTACACTTCAAAAATGAGTCTATAAAAATTATTCGATACTTTCATAATCAAGCACATTAGCTGATGAATATTGTACTTGCAAAACTCCTTTGCATCCTTTTTCGGAAAATAGTGCTTGAAAATCTCAGTAAATTGGTCTTTGCTTAGTTCTCCATCGGAACATTCTTTTTGGAATTCCTAGAGTTATGACACATTTATAAATGAATAGAAGATCAGTAAGTCTACCAACCTGATACCATTCTTGTATTTCTAGGAAGGAAAGCTAACATATAGTTATGAGAAACAAAAAACGAGACAAATTACCGTCCTTTGAAAAATTAGTTTGGTGTTCGAGCTGTTGAAGCGCTGAAATGCGTAAAATGAAATGTTAAGTTTTCAGTCAAAATTGTTTGAATCCCTCACCTTTTCGACTTAATCTATTACGTTCTTTACCGCTCTTGTTGCCCATATGTGATGCTTAGTTAACTATGAATAAGAAATGATGATGATTCAAATGATCTGAAAGAAAATGTTTTTATTCATGAGCTCAAAAACGTTAATTCGAGTTATGTGTTAAATGTCATATCATTTAGAACCACTCAAATTGGCACAAACCAATACTATATCTCTTTACAGAAATATTAAATCCTAGTTTGTGGATACGTTGACCTACGATCGAAGATTTATTGTTTTTTGTGTAGACCTAAAGTGGGTAAAATATTACGATTTTAAACAAAATGATAGCATTCGTAGAAGTGTGACGAAAAGATTGACTAATAACTCTGTTGCGAAAGTTTGATTACTGAATATAATAAATCAACTTAGTGATTTGTCATTCTGTCACTGACTAAAAATGTGGTAAGCATCAAAATTTTTTTAAAAACATCAAAAACAGATAGCCACATAAGTATTCGTATATAAATAGATACACATCACAAACTGTCTCAAATCTATAAGAGTCAATATTTCAATCCATGTCTTGTTGTAGTTCGTGTTGAATCTGAATGCTTGAAGAGTTCCATATAGACCTTAACACATCTTTTGACGACAGCGACATTGCTTTTTCAGTATTTTCCTTAAGATTTTTGAAAATTTCTTTCGCCTCTTTCCATCCAGCAGGTATATTGTCACTCGTTGCATCCTCCTGTATTGTTATCCACACTATTGCTAGCACGCATACAGTTGCCACAGTGATAAGAACAATAAATGTTAGTGCTGTCACGCTCAATTCATAATAATATAACAAAGAAACGCCTGGAAACATAAGAATCGGCACTAAAATGTAAAGCACTGTCACTAATACAACAACTGTAGGATACTTGTACAGTCTGAGGCTTAGAACGCCACAATGACAACAAAGAAAACAGCAACAACATTTCGTTGGAGCTGTTTGCTTATTGAGACCGACAGTTTTAGCCACTATGCGATTTATACCAGTGGATAAGTTACGACGCCTGTTAAATGCAAGAATATACAAGTGTATTAAACACTGAGTGATATTGCCCAAAGCAACCAATAACCCTGTGGTAACGCCTATTTGGGTAGTAACATCCGATGTTTTTATATCACGCCCAATCCAACGAAAGCATGCTGCAGACTGAGAATCAATCGGAAAAACAGCATTTCTTCCGGTGTCACATGAAAAATATGTGTGATTGTTACCAGAGAAACATTCCATTAGCCCTACGTTTGGGCACGAACCATCTCGATAAACAGTTATTGTAGCTAAGAAAAGAGAGTTGAAAGCGGCAAGCATGGCAGCAGAGATTACAACTGTTGTTAAAATTGTTATGAAACCTGTATTCCATCTTTTACGCATGGAAATGTATTTACCATACACATTCAGAACTATACGTTCGTGTTCAGGATGTGACGGAGAATGCAGAGATATTTTTGCGTTGGCTGGACTCAGTACCTCCGATTCTTGTTCATGATCCTGTGATTCATTATCCGATTTTGATTGTTCACTTGAATTTTCGTCTGATTCTGAGTCATCAAGTTTTTGATATTTGTTAGACGTTTCTCCTTCAGACTTTTCGGAAAAAAATGCAATATCTGTAACGAGCTTAGAGAATTTTTGAGCGGATCTCTTCGAAATTTTGAATTTAGAATTACGGCGAACGATTTTGTGATTCACGTTAATGGCGCAGCGTTCTATATTGAACAGTTGTGCAATAACACTATAGAATACTTTGTCGCATTTCCACAGACACATCAACAACGTAGCAAGTGTTACTAAGAAAACCCCGACACTAATGCCAGCACTATATTCAACCCAAGTCCAATAGTCCCAAGTCATTCTGTGAACTGAAATGGTAGTCTAGAAAACTAATTAGAAAGTAGCGCCTTTGGACTATGCTGAATGCTCGATATCATTATTCATAAACATGCTTCAGGACCAAGAGTGATACAGTGTTTCTAATGAAACCCAAAAAACAAAATATATTATTACATTTTGCTGCAGGAAGCAAAATGTATATGTATACTTGGGCTCTAGCAGTAACGTATACAAAATATATCGGAAAAACGTTTTGCAATGTCGAAAACAAAATATTATTTCGGTTCTCGAATAATATAAAGCGATGTTGGGTGCATAAGTCAACAATGTATATAGACGTACTGATTCGGATATTGACGGTTTTTTGGCAACAAAATAGAAGAAAAACAGACTTTCATCATTACATTAAAATTTAGTTCCAATATACGCAAAAAAATTTAGACAAAATTAACAGTATATTATACATCAATACAATCTTAGAATTCTGCCTGGATCTAGAGTGAAAGCGTGAAGTCTTTTTTTAAAAATGTGCACCGTATATTTTGGTTTTTTTGAGCAAGGTATATATCAGAGTGTACATAAAAACATCAAATGTGAGGACTGTGCAAAGACGACCACCTCTCTTGAGAGTGTAGGGTGTGAGGGTGTTTGCGGAGTGTGTAAGAGTCAACGCTGGTAAGTGGAAGAGTAATATTCTTACCCATATAGACCCACACCCGTCTTGAGACACGAAAACAGGAAAAGTAACATCGGTAGCAGCGGCTCCTACTGTTGTATTCCTCTCACAGAGGTCCTATCAATCAACTACAAAATAATTTCTCTTCAGTTGCCTAGAATTTTCCTTTTTTTTTGTGTACTCAAAAAGTGAGTACACTCTAGAATCGGTCAGTGTGGCCCACCGACAGGCCGGCCGTTTCCACGATAACTTTTGAAAGGAGAGTCCGATCACGATGAACTTTTCTTCACAGTTTAGCCTCAACAGTATCTCGGTCGAGTTTGAAGATGAGAAAGATTGCCCAAGCCGTTCCTGAGTTATTGCAAAAATAGTCATTTTTCCCTATGGCTTTCTATAGGAAAATCGACCTATCCCCACTTTCGTAAAAACTTTTCCTATCATAGTCAAATAAAACCCCAACTATTATATACTATTCGATAGAGAATGTCAAGAGCTACAAAATGGTATATGAAACATATAGAAACAAGAAGGCTAGCTCACCTATTACACAGAAAAATAAACGGAAATCGGTTCTGTAAATGTTTGCGCTCTAATTGATCCACAAGTAGAGCTATATCTTCCGATCACAAAGATGATACTTCGAGGTGTTTTCGGATGGAGAACTCGAATCTGTACTCCATTTACCTCAAGGCTCCATTGGTTGAGCACTGACCAATAGAAATCAAGTTATAGGAAAAACGACTTTCTTAAGGGTACCCCCCCCCCCCTCTTTTTTGACCATTTCTGGAACTCAAAGACGGTAAGTTCGATCGAATTGAAATTTTTAGTACATATAGAACACCTAAAATGATGAGACACGTGTTCGAGGAAAAAATTCTCTAAGGAGGTTTTCATGGTTTTTTATGAAAAACCTTGGTTTTCNGAACTCGACCGAGACATTGTTAAGACTGAACTGTGTAGAAAATTTCATCGTGATCGGACTCTCCTTTCGAAAGTTATCGTGTAAACGGCCGGACGGCCGGACGGCCGGCCGGACATACTGACCGATTCTAGAGTGTACTCACTTTTTGAGTACACAAAAAAGTAAATGTTATGCTTTCTTAATATATAAATTTATATAACTTAGTCACACATAAACAACTGAATGATAAAAACACAAGAAAAATATCAATAGAGCTAAAATAATATGTTCATATACAAGTTAAAATCTGTTCATTTTTTTTAAGTGAAACATAAACCAAGTTGACATGCTTCACAATGTTCTTTAGCATGTGGTGCTATCATTCTTCCTTTTCTTTGAGCAGGATCATGGCGCGATGCACGAGATCGTTTATAATCATTTTGTACCAATTCTTGATTTTCTAATTCGACAGTATTAATCATATCGGGAAAATATCTTTCAAAAACTGATGAAGCCAAATTTTTCATTACTCTACAAACTTCATCTAAAATAGAAGAAAATGAAAATTTACAACATAATATAATAAGAATAAAAAAAAAAACTTACCAATATACCAAAGAGCTTGAGTATATGTATTACAATGTTGACAATTTTGACCAAGAATTTTAAGTACAATAAAACCAATTTTTGGTGAACTAACTGAAAATGAAATTCGTCCTCGCATTGATGTCCATTCATGTTGACAATAAATATTTGGACATTGAAATTGTGCTTTAGCATTGTCAAGTTTAAGATAGTCAAATTGCAAATTTCCATAGCATTCATCAGCAAGTTCTTCTTCAGCAAAAAAATAATAACGAACTTTGTGACATAATGATAATGGAACTGAAATATGTCGAGCAAATTCACCATGAAAAGCTACACGTGTATCAGAACAAAAATCTTTTTTTGTATAATCCAGAATATTTTGAGCAAGTTTAACTGAAAAAAAAGAAACAAATAGAAAAAGTAACATTTAGTACAACGATATTACAAATATTTGCTGAGTTATAATGACTAAGCAAAAAAAGAAAATATTGCTCAACTTACGATCTGTTTTAATACGTGAAACTGTTGTTTCATCTTGAGTTTCACATTCTGAAAAGCCTTCATCAGGATTTGGAGTGAATGATTTCATTGATAATTGATCTTCATTATCATTGACTATTGCTTGAAAAACATATTCTAATTGTTGTTGTTCAATTTCTTCTGTACCTGAATCATCATCATTATGTATTAATTCAATCAAATCTTGATCATTTGCAGAGAAACATCGGTAAAGTTTTGAACGACAAGATTTATCCACCTTTGAATGATTTGCCGTTAAACTATGTTGATGAGTCAATTGAGGAATTGATCCAATCATAATTGTTTGTATTATTTAAGATAAAAAACTGTGTGTGTGTGTTGAAAATCTGAAAGTGAGCGTAAAAGCTTGACGTTTGAGTTTATATAGGGAGCAAATGGTATGATGAGTAAACTGGGTAAATATATTTTCATGTAGACGACGTAGTCTGAAGGAACGAACGAAGAGGAGAAAAAAACCAAGTAAGAGCTTGGCGAAAAAGGTACGTGAATAGGAATAAAACAAAATATTTTATTCTTTTTCTCAAGAAAAATTAGAAATAAATAGATTAATTAAAGGAATATTAAAAATCTTTTCATTATAAATTTTATTAAAATAAAATTCAAATATTTATGTTTGAAATGAAAATCGAAATTATTTGAAGAAGCAAAGAAAATATTAATCCATTTGGAATAAACCGAGTCAGGTAAGAGAACAATGAAATTTTTTTACCGTACAGCTATTTTTGTTTCTTAAAATAATCAGGTTACGTTTTTCTCGTGTGTCATTTTCTAATAACGTGTCTGAATGATGCAATTATAGAGACAAAACGAACAATATTTTACTGTGCTTATTTGATTATGAGTAGATGCATATAAAGAAGTATGATTATATACACATATGTATAGACGACAGAGAAAGAGAGAATGATTTACCTTTTCTTTCTGTTCTTGCTCTACAATTGAAAAAAAGAAGATTTTAGAGACATCAGCTCATTTTTCTTTATTTCACTTTAGCTATTTAGTTGGAAACTTCCAAGGTGATGTAATAACGTATCAAAATGACTCATCATTCAATGAAAAACAAAAAAAAAAATACGTAAAAAGAAAACAAAAATCTGATATCAATCAGATTAATATTTTTATTTATTTGTCATAAATGACATTTAGGTTTGTATCACTTGTAAACAGAATCAGATACGATAGAAAACTCGAAACTATCTGTTAGTTTTTTGTTTTGTTTTGCTTTTTTTCTTTTTTGTTCCCGCTGTTTCACGAGACAAGGCACATGCATATTACTTAACGTCATAATTAATAACCGGTTATTTATCAATACTTTATTGGAAAAAACCTAGGAAAAATAAAAACACTAGAAGTTACTAGTATCAAACTCATATAATGTCTTTCGAAGAAACATAGAGCGAGTATCAGTTATAAGCCGAGGTTTTTATGACTTCTCTGCTCCCGTTAATGGTAACCGCAGTCAATGATGATTGGATATATTTCTATACTAACTGACGCCGGATTCTTATCTCAGAACTCCTTGGCAAAGGAAAACGACGCAGAACGACATAAACAACAGACTTTCACCGTTCTAGAACATTCAAATCAATGGTTACAATAACAATCGTGTTATGTAAAGGAGAATAGAACACAAAAAAGAAAAAAAACGAGCAAACAGCAGCAAGACAAAAAAAAAAGAATGTCAAAGCAAGAATTCTATCCGAAATGCAATAATAAATACGCTAGATCGTTTCTACGTCGATCGATTACCACAGAAAGCATCTATAGCCTGCTAAGGATTTTTCACTATATGTATTTTGTATTATTAAAATGAAATTAAAGAATCTATGTGAGTTCTACATTTCAGTTCCAGATGGATTGTGCTAACAAGTTTTTTTTTTTTTAACCTAAACTACATCTTATTCTAAAATGAAAGTAGAAGGATTCGATAACACACCTTTTTTGTTGTGAACTATGTCAAATAACACGAAGCGTTCTAAGAAAAAAAATTTTTTTCTGCATAGAAAATCTTATGAAGAACTCTAAACTAAAAAGAACATGAGGAGTATTGGTTTAGTAAGAAATAGTAAATCTATCTGATGGTAACAAAAATTCAAGAAACAAACTGAAATATACGATAGGAAGTTGTTTTTTTCCATTGTTGGCGCTATGATTTCTAATAATATAAAAGAAAACAGTAAATTTTAGTTATGTATATCAAATGAAAACTGATTAATAGTCGAATAGATTACGATTGGACAATAAAGATTTCGAAGCCTTATTATCATCAAGTCGAAATAAATACAAACATAGAATAGTTTGAAAAAGCTCGGTATCGGTTTCTATATTCATTGAAACATCTGGAATATAAATATTTCTAATGTTTCATAACGATAATCATTGGATTCGGTTTCTGATAATAAATTTTCTAACTTCATCTGGAATTGATTGTACTGAAAAATGAATGTAGAATTATATGTGGTCGTATGTAGAGCAGATATGACATCGGACAGACTGGTTTTCTTTATCAATTTTCATTGTTTTACCAATTCAGAAACATGATGTGTCAAAATGCTGTGAACATATTTTATTAAAAATAATTTTATATTTCAACGAATACATTTGTCATCTTCAGAGTGATAAACCAAAAATATGTAGACACAGAAAATAAGAAAAAAGGATTTGTTCTCTATGATCATTTTGTTCTTTTGAATATTATTTGTAGGTTAACAAAAACAAAAAAATCGTTCGGGGAATTTCTACTATCCAAATACTTTAAATCTATATTTTGTATCGTTGATTGTACGTTTTAGAGTTTGGCAGAATAATGAACTTATTTTTGTGTAAATTTAACGTGAGAACGTGCGTGTGGATATGGGGCGTCAAAAATAAACACTCATCAGCATATCCATAAGCATCATAGAAATGAGTTTTCTAGATTCACTTTTTTACATTGCATCTAAAAATAATTTGAAATTTGAATGAAATAGAGAAAACCTTGAAAATTTGTCAGTTATCGAAAGTTGATCTTTTTTTCATCAAAACAGCCATTTGAAAACGACTAGGAATTAATTTACAAAAAATTCGTTCCAAAAAGTTAAAGTCTACCTATTTTCGCTCAATTTTTAATGATCTATCTAACTATATATAATTATATAAAGAGAAGAAAAAGACTCTGCTTTTATTTCGTATTTCTACTGCCTTACTTGCATGTTTTAGTAAAGATCATATGTTTTCAACTAGAGTTTTGCAAAGCAAATTTTATTATGCATATAGTTGATGCTTGTTCTTTGCTCAGAATATATCTAAAGGGTTGACATGGATAGAATTTTGCCTTTTCATTCTTGGAAAGTTTCATTTGAAAGACAGAAATGTTATATACGGCCAATTTTCCTCTTCGAATTGAGGGAATAAACAGGACCTTTGACTTTCATTTCTAAATTATTTTCAATATCTATACCAAAACAAATAATCGACGTGTGTATTATCAAGTATGAATGAAAATATCACTCTGAATGAATAAACTAATGATAGAATATTCAATTTGAAAGCATGCTTGATTACACTATACAATCGAAATCGTAAGACGGTGGCTTCGTCCAATGAGAGAAACATCAGAAGAAAATTTAAAAAAATCAGTCTACTTTACGACAATCATGAGAAAAAAGTACTTTTACCAAAGTTTAATTCAAAATTTTACGTGATAGAAATACACGTAGAAAAGTAAAAGAAATGATTAATTTTACATTTTCTTTTACATCGTTGTAAAAACAAAAAGGCCTTCGAAAAATGTAATCAAATTGAGAAGTGTATTTTATAATGTCTAAAAATAATTTTTATCTTAAATTTTCGATTTTTTGAAGATATCCTTCGCGTAGGATGAAGTATCGAGAAAACATGAGTCTCGCAAATAATGTATCTTCTTTCGGAGATTTATATTCATTGAAAATCTTGACCGATTTGTGATCAACCATTGTTTATAAGAAAAAAAGAATGATACTTTCTTTAAAGTCTTAAGAAATTGTGTATGATTATATAATGAAATTCATAATCCGATTTTTTTTTCTCTGACAATCAATGAATCGGTGACACGACAGTTGAGCTCCCGACAATTGAGCCCCGACAGTTGAGCCCCGACAATTGAGCCCCCGACAGTTGAGCCTCCCGACAGTTGAGCCTCCCGACAGTTGAGCTCCCGACAATTGAGCCTCATATCAAGAAAAAAGTAAAGTAATAGAGCAAGATAATTTTATTTGAGTAAATCTACACTCATATCAAAAATTAAATAGAGCTCTTGCTCGTTTANAAATACCATTGTTGAGTGTTTCTTAAAACTGATGCAGTTCAGTAAAAAATTGTCATGGAGAGCTCGGAGACATCTCATTTTGTAGAGAATTCGTTGCTCTATCACCCTGTATAATCAAGACAAACTTTTATTTTCGGGGTCTGGGTGCTGAAAAAATAGGTTTTCGGCTTTCCAAAGATCCTGGTTTTGGGGAATAAGATGAGAATTTCATCTTTCTGGGACCTTTGTTGGGAACAATTTTCTCTATCCAAATCACTATTTGGATTCTTCAGAGGAGTTACCATTAGGGAAAAAAATCGAAATTACACCTGTATGAATAATTTTTGGAGCCACTGTATATATTTATAAATATAGAAACATAGGAAACAAGGAAAAAGGACTTGTCCTCTTTGATTATTTCGTTCTTTTAAACATTATTTGTGAGCCAACAAAAAGTCTTTCGGAAAATTTTTATTGTCTAAGTACTTTTAATCTATATTTTGTACCGTTGAGTGTGCATACTAGAGTTTGGTAGAACAATAAATTTATTGTTGTGGAACTTAATTCATGTATATTTTCGGAGATAATTTACGTGAGATTGTGAGACGTGAAAAAGAAACACTCATAAGCATCAGAGAAAAGAGTTTTCTGGGTTCACTTTTTTTTCACACGGAATCTAAAAATAAATTGAAATTTGAACGAAATGAAGAAAAACCTGAAAATTTGTCAGCTATCGAAAGTTAATCTTTTCTTCACCAAAACAGTTACTTGAAAAAAGCTAGGAAATAAATTACAAAAACTCAGTTTTTCATGATGTATCTAACTATATATAAAGAGAAGAAAAAAGTCTGCTTTTATTTCATATTTCTGCTGCCTTACTTCCATGCTCTAGAAAAGATCATATGTCAAGCAAATTTTATCATTCATATAGTTCATGTTTGTTCATTGCTCAGAATATATCTGAGTGGTTGACACGGATAGAATGTTGCCTTTCCATTCTTGGAAAGTTCCAT